GACTTTTGTTAATTAATACTGACCATTGAGAAGTCAAAACGAAGATTTATTAGTGGTAGGGATCCAAATCTACTATCTCTTTTTTTTTTTTTTTTTTTTTTTTTTTTTTTTTTTTTTTTTTTTAATCTCATTAGTTGTCTCTATATTACGTATATCATGTTTTCTAAATTTAACAACCCCACTATATGAAAAGAAACTATAACTAGATACTAAAAACATTTATGCGCAATTTATAAAGCCATGTCAAAATTGGAGGAACATTAAATGAGACAGAAAATTGATTGAAAAGGACAACAAATCTTGACTCTTATTAGGAGTGCTAGCTGTATGAGTTTCACTTTAGTTTTACCATGCTCTAACTCACAAATATGACCTGAGGTGTGAACAAATTAATCGTGCTTTAAAACATAATTAGCGGTTCGTGACTATACTTTAACCAAAACCAAATTGCAGGAAATTAAGGCCGTGTTTGGAATTGATTTCATTTTTATTTTTTACGTTTTTCAAGAAAAAAAAAATAAAAACGTTTTTAAAACGGCGTTTGGCGCGATAAAGACAAAAAAACAAAAATGAAAACTATTTTTTAATTTAGTGTAAAATGAAAGAGAAATAAAAAATGACTTTTAGTCATTTTTCATTTTTTGTTTTTATTTTCTCTTCTTTCGAGAAGAGAGAGAGAAAGAGAGACATTAATAGGCTTTTTTACACTGAAAACAATCTCTTGATAAAACTACCAAACGCATTTTCAAAAATAATTTCTGTCTGAAATTGAAAACGTTTGCATTTTCATTTTCATACAAAAAATAAAATTATTTTAGAACGAGTTCCAAACGCGTCCTAAGTTTTGATTTTGATCATTCTTCATTTGATTTTTCTTATATATCGTCGTTGTTGGTTTTTCTATAGCCTTTCAGTTTTTAAAATTGTCGTATCTTTTTGTTTGACGTGGTCACTAGAGATTTCTCGCGTTTTAGGTTTTGTTGTTGCTTTTGTAATTTTTTTTTTTCTTAAATATTGCTGTCGTTTCCATGCTAAGGTTGTTTTAAGTTAGGAAGAAGTCGTTTTCCTCTTTTTTAGTTGACATTGTCATTCTCTAAAGCCATTTACACTGAAATCGTTTCCCGCGTGTTTTTGGATAATCCCTCTTCTCCCTTTCTGTCGTTTATTGAGTTTTACTTTTTGATAATTCTTTTGTATTTATTGGTGGCTCTTCTCCAATCTCGTGTCGTTTTTCATTGTTATTCTATTTCGTTTTTCCTCGTCTAAAAATTGTCGTCTTTTGACTTTTTGCTGTCTCTACTTTAGAAGTCGTCTTTATACTGTCGATGTCGTATTTAAATTTAACAATTTTTTTTTCTATCTTCTATCCTCGTCGTATGACCTTGATGGCTTTTTTTTTTTTTTTTTTTGAACGTTGATGGCGTATTGACTAGAAACAATATATTCTGAAATTGTGGGCGAAGTCCTCCGATGAAGTGGGAAACTGATTGTTCGTCAGTTTCATTAATCCCATTCTTTGTAAGCAAAAGGAAAAACTCGGTCGCGTATTCATCCAACGTCCAATTACCTTGTCATAAATTCCGGAAGCGTTGATACATGATCTGTACATAATTATACGGAAGGAATGTGCGTTTCATATACTTCTTCAATTTTTCCCATGAGAAGATCCTCTCTTTCCTGGCACGCGAACGAGAGACCTTGAGTTGTTGCCACCAAGCGGCGGCTCGACCTAACCCTCTTATTGTTCGGGACTTCCTTAAATTCTAAGATTTCTTCAACAGCTCCAATCCAATCCAAAAACTCTTCCGGTTGGAGACTTCCATGGAATTTGGGAATATCAAGTTTGAAACCCGACTCCCAACGGCGGTTGTCTTCCTGACGTGGTGCAGCGACGTTAGCACGATGGTGAGGAGGCGCGGCTTGCAACGGTGCAAATTGGTTTTCTTCAACGTTAGCATCTCCTTCTTCGTCTTCGGAATCTTGGACATGATCCGGAGGGGGCACAACGGGTGGAGCGGGTGGCTGGTTGTTGGCTTGAAGGGCGGTGAGAATGGCTTGCTGCATGGATTGCTGCATGTTATGCTGAAATTCGGCAAGTGTTTGACGGAGTTCATCCCAATCGTTGGCAGGTTGTGGGAGACATCGGGGCAGCATGACGGAGGAGCGTAGCAAGTCTCTGATACCAATTGACGTAGCGGAGTAAAAAGGTGTCATGTAATTCCATTGATTCGAAAGAATACCGGAAAATGGAAGGCGAGTAATTCGTTGATTCAAAAGAATGCCGAAAAACAAGCAAAGTGGAGAAAAAACTTCTCTGAAAATTTTATTATCAAAATATCAATAATGAAAATAACAAGCTATCCTACTATTTAAAGAGAACTATAATTCGAAATCGAAAAGGAAACTATCTCTAATTAATCTCTTTCTAATTTTAAAAATAAGGAGACTATCTAAACTTAAAGATAAAGATAAAAGACTATCTAAATTTAGAATTTAAAGATAAAGATTATCTCTTTTGCAGGCGCTACAATCAGTTTTCCATTTGTTGTCCTTTTTTGTGCTATTGTCGTTTTTAGGTTGTCATCCTTTTCATTTTGATAATTTGATGTTGTTGCTAGATTTCTGTTTCTTTCTAAGGTTTTCTAGGGTTATGTCGTTTTAAAAATTTTGTTGCTTTCCAGGCGTGCTTTTTAAATTTCTGTCGTTTTCTTTAAGAATTTTTTTTTTTTTTTTTTTTCATGTTGATGAAGTTTGTATTTTGTTGTGTATTTTTGTCGTGATTTTATATTGTGGTCATTTTTTTTTAGGTTTTTGATATATTATATTATGTGGTATATTTTTACGTTTGTTATGAATAGTAGATGTCATATTCTGTCAAAGTTATTATGCAAATTAGAAAGTTACTGTGCATATTAGAATTTTATTTTACTTTAAAATTAGTAACCGTAAATAGTATGTATTATGTAAATAGTAACTATAAATAATATGTATTATACAAATAATAACTGTGAATAGTGTCAAAAATATTCATGTAAATAGGCACTAAATTTCATCATTAAACTCCATCTCTTTCTAATTTCTCTTTCTAAAGTTTTTCTTCTTAGTTTTCGTAACAACATTGTCTTAATCAGGCTGCTTTCGTTTTTTCAAGTTAATGCTGCTTACGTTGTGTCGTTTTTAACTTGGTGTCATCATCTTATTGTCGTTTTCTCAGTTTTTTTTTCGCTTACCCAATTGCCTCACCTTTTTAGTTTTTAGTTTTACATAGTTATATATATATATATATATATATATATATATTGTCGCCGTTTGCTTACGTGGTTACTTTTCTATCTATAATGATTTGATATGTTTGTTGGCATCTTTCTTGTTGATGTCGTTTATGGACTATTGCTTTTAATTCATGTAATTTTCAAATTTTTTTTTTTTTTTAATTTTGTTGTCATTTTCAGTTGTTGTCGGCCTTCTTATTACTTCTTCTTATCGCATTTTACACTGTCTTCTTTTGTTGACGTCGTTGTTGTTTCCTGTTTCATGTCATCTGTTTGTTTGATGTCGTTTTCTTAAAGCTGTAGTTTTTTACTTTTTTTTTTAAAACGTTTTTTCTAGATTTCCGACGATTTTAAGGACATTTATGTGAGGGCTTGGAAGTAGGAATGGATTATGTTCTGTCTATTCCCATCACATGTATGTATACTATGTATTTTGGTTTGGTTACGTAGTTACATTTTGATTTTTGTTTGTCGTTTATCGTCAAAAATGTCTTTTTTTTTTCTCGGTCTTCACGTGGTTTTTAAATGGTTTATTGTTGTTTTCGGTCGTCCACCTTTCAGGGTCGACGTCGTCTTTAAGTTGCCATGTTGGTGTTTCCTTCTTTACGTCGTTTTTAATTTTATTGTCGTTTTCACTATATCTCGTTTTTACATAGTTTCCGTTCATTTTTATGTTTTTTTTTTCCGTTAAAGATTTCTGTCGTTTCAAATCTCTCACTTAACCGAAAAGAATTTCAGGTTATGCTCAGAAAAAAAAATACAAATTGAATATAAAATAATATTTAAAATGTAATAATTTAAAATAAATTAATGGAGATCTAACAAATATAACAATATGATAGGATTTTTTTTGAGAAATATAGTCGAATGCCTCTTTATTAGAAAAGGATAAGAGATTTATTGCTTTTATTTAATACCGTAAGATATCTTCTGCCTTCAAATTTTCTCAGTATTAATCAATTTAAAAATCACATCATTCTGAAAAAAAAAGCTTTAGATTCCTTTAGTTATGGATTTGGAGTGAGATGGATTTGAATATGAAATTTGTTATGGAGTTGATTGAGCTTTTGATATGATTTCGGCAGCCATTTTAGTCTGCATTTTGAGAGGCAGGGGAATAAGACTTTTTAAAAAAAAAAAAAAATTAGTTGATTTTTTTAATATTTAATCATATTTTTATAGATTCAATTAGAATTTAATACCTTTAGTTAACCTTAATAATATGCCACGTAAGTAAATCTCTTAAAATTATAGATGAAAGTGGATGGAGGGAGCGTTTAAACTATTTTTTATATATCATAGTGTATTTTGAATCGTTTTATAAAAAATTAGAGAACATTTTAAAATAAATTCGAAAGGTATTTATGAAAATACTCCTAAAGAGTTTAAAAGTGATCATTTTATATAGAGAGAAGACAGATACGTATGCATTAATCTGAATTTTTATCTTTTTATGCTGATCAATATATTTTTAGTTAAATAATGATATTTATTAAAAGAATATTAATTAAAAGTAGGATGAAAAATTCAAGTAAATTCAGTAATTTTTTCTTTTATATAATTATTATTTCCACAAATTTGAGGGCTTTCATAAGTTTGTTGGGCTAAAATATAGATTCTAAACTACCCTCGTTGGGCCTAATTTACAGTCCATTCAACACCTGTATTGTCTTCTTCAACCTACAAAACCCATTTCTCCTCCTAAAACCCTTTAAACCCTCCGCCATTAACGACCAAAACCCAACCAAAAAAGCCAACACCCTTCACCGGCCACCACCGCCGCCATAACCGAGCATCATCCGCCACCGCCATGGTGAAGGCCTACCTCCGCTACGAGCCGGCTGCGGCGTTTGGCGTGATCGCCTCCGTCGGATCCAACATCGCCTACGACAGCTCCGGCAAGCACCTCCTCGCCCCCGCCCTCGAGACTCTCGCCCTCTGGCACGTCCGCCAAGGCGTCTGCTCCAAAGCCCTAGCTCCCACCCTCTCCTCCCCTGGCCCCTCCCTCGCCGTCACCGCCATCGCCGCCTCGCCTTCCAATTTGGTAAAAAAAAAAGCTTCGGCTTTTCTGTTCTCCTTCCTCGTATGTTTTCGCTTGTAATTAGCGCTTGAAATTAGGGTTTCGAATTGATTCCAGGCGGCGAGTGGATACGCAGATGGTAGTATAAGGATTTGGGATTGCGAGAAAGGGACGTGTGAGACGACTTTGAATGGCCACAAAGGCGCTGTTACTGCTCTTCGGTACAACAAGATTGGGTCGTTGCTTGCTTCTGGAAGCAAAGATAACGATGTTATATTGTGGGATGTTGTTGGCGAATCTGGCCTTTTTCGCCTCCGAGGCCATCGTGATCAGGTATGTTAACAATGCGTATATAGAATTCTAAGCGCCATTTTTGCAGGTTTTTTTTTTTGCTTGCTTACAGAAGAAGAGAAGTAAAAACCATGGCTTTTCAATTATTGTTTGGACAAAATAGATATATGGTATTCTTCATAAGCAATAAAAATTTGAGAGTGGAGTTTATAAAATCTTATGAAAACTCTTATACAAGTTTAAAGTCTTTTAGAAGGGAGTTTTGAGATGTCATACACACACACACACACACATATATATGTATATATATGTATATAT